TGAGAAAGCTTGACAGTAAGATTAGGAGGCTAGGAGATGATAGGCCCAAATAAGGAGGCAAGAGGAAACCCAAATGAGGAGGAAGCAGGAGAGAAGAGAGAAGCCTAAATAAGGAGGGTCACTAGTGAAACAAAAAGAGATCTAGAAAACCTAATGAAAAGAAAAGAAAGAGCAAACAGCGCTTTCATTAGACTTCAGCAAACCTCTATGCTGAGAACAATAACCCTGTGTTTAATGTTGTGTCAAAAACAAATTACAAATATTTTCTACCTGCCTTGTAGCCAGCTACCATGTAAAGCAGGCAAAAAAGATGATGAAGATTAGCAAGCATTCAGCTGTTTTTCTAAATGGCAGTAAACGATCTGTTTTAGGCTAATGTTATTTCCTTAGTCATATCTCAAAGTTGTAATTCATAGTTTTACATACATACATTTTACATACATACATACTAGAAAATGCATACTTTTTCTGGTATTCCATGTATAGTATTACATTTCATCTATTCTGCTCTAAAAATAATGCCAATATGAAGCTTTCTCATTAATAAAGTCTCAAAAGTCTACAGACTTCAGTGATTTGCACTTCTACCAGTAGGATTTTTTTTTCTTATAAAAACTAGACTTTCTTTTTTGAAACAGGTTTCTATCAGAATGCAGGTGAGGTGGAACCACCAGCAACCTGAAAATGAAATGGGAAAGGAAAAAACTCAGGTCACCATTATCACGGAACATGCAGATTCACCACTGGTCATCCGATCTACAGATGTGGCATGATCGGCAACAACAACAACAAAAAATTCAAAAAGTCGAGAAAGAGACTGCATACATACGCCTTCCAGTGTGCCTGGGTTTTAGACATAGTTGAGAGAAACCATGGCACCACTATTGACATCTCGCTGTGGGAACCTCAGACCAACCAATATTATGTCACTGATGCCACAAGACAGAGAATTCATGATGATGATGGTGATGGTAGTGGGCACATCACAGGCTGGCTATAGTGTCCTGATTAGTGGTGCTGGGATGGCAAATGTGAAGCTGGTATCTCCAAGAATGGACACACTCTTGATTTCAACAAAATGGATTCCACCAAGCCACACTACAGCCAGAAGGTACAGAAGGACACTAAGGAAGTCAGCACCTAGATTTAATGAGGTTGCCTACAACTCTGACACCATAGCACTTGTGCCAACTTTGGGGTAGAATGGTGACAAAAGGCCAGGGCCAATGCCAACATGCTTTGGTTTAAGGACTGGAAAGCCACCTGTAAATACGGTGCTGTTCATGGAATCACACTGCTACAAGCTTTGTCTCATCACCCATCCCATAAGCTTTTGTGGCTGCTCCTCTGAGCTATCTATGAAATTGGTGGTATTGGTGCTGTCCCTGTGGGCAAGTAGAAGCTGGTATTCTTAAACCTAAAATGACAGTTATCTTCGGTCGAGTCAATGTCACAACCGAAGTAAAGTCTGCTAAGAGGCACAGTGGAGGTGTGAGTGAAGATCTTCCAGCAACAACATGGGCTTCAGTGTAAAGAGAAAGTTTGTGCAAGGACAGCAGATGTGGCAACATTGCAGGTGATAGCAAGGATGGCCCAAGAGTGGAAGCAGTTGGCCTCACAGTTCAGTGATTTTCCTGAGCCACCCAGGAAAAATTTGTGCTGGCTACGACCCTGGGCTAGACTGTCAAAAGGCTCAGAGCTCGCAAGTCTGCTCAGCTGAAAAAAAAAGATTTCTCATCTCACTATTCTGGTTAGGAGCTAGAAGATGGGCCCAAATCTTTGAAATCTAGTGATGCAGCAATTTTCTTTTTCTTTTTTTCTTTTTTTTTTTTTGGTTTGTTTATTAGTTTGTTGTATAATAATCTATTAACTCATTATTTTGTTTACATTATACTTTATTTTCTCATTGCAAAAGCATTAGCAATTCTTCAGTACATGAAATGTAGACTCCTAATGGTTTTTATATAACTTATACACTTTACATCCCAATTGTAGCCTCCCCTCATCTCTTCCCAGTCCCTCCCTCTTCCCGCCATCCCTCTCCCCTATTCCGCAGAGAGGGGGAGACCTAACATTCCCTGGAAAAAAGCAAGCCTGACACAACCAACAGTCAGGCACCATCCTGGCCCAGAAAGGCTCCCAGCATGGACTGAGGGCCCTGAGTGGGAGTGAGCCCAAGACAGATGCCTCTCACCTGGGAACAGTTGGGCAGGCAAGGAACAAGCCAGAGACAACCACCAAACCACTTTGGGGTCCCAACAGAGAACTAGCCTACGATGGCCATCAGTCTTGCACTGTGCAGGTCTAGGGGGAGCAGACCATGCTCAAGGTGAGCCCAGCACTACATAGCACAGCGCTCCTGAGACCACTCTTGAGACAAGCCTAGACACTCAGAGACCCTGGGCACCACTAAGAAAAGCAAGGAAGTGGTGGAGAAATGGAAGATAAAGAAAAACAGAAGAATATGGGCACAGTGAAGAGAGACAGAGCTGGAGACTCGAGGGTAGTGAGGAATAGTCAGATGTGAGTAGCTGGTGATGCCACTGGGGGCCACGTCTGGGTCTGTGGCCCTTGCAACAGCAGGGCTCCGTTACCACCAAATGTCAGGTGGACATAATTGGTCTGGGCTGCTGTCCAGGGACATGCTGATGTCTGAGGGCTGTACAGAACTGGCCCCACCCCTCACCTCAGCATCGTGGAAGAGCTGGCCCTTGGGGTGTGAGAGCAGGAGAGCTGACCTCACCCCTAGCTAGCTTCAGTATTAGGAGTGATGCCCTCCCCTCCCCTCACCCTTTGCCTTCAGTGGTAGGTGGGAGACCTGGCCCTGAAGCCATGAGAGCAGGAGGGCTGGCAGAATGACCATCTCAGACACCTCTCGGGCGCAGAACTAGGGATTTGAGTTGGCCTACCCCGACATCAACGCCATCAATGAACTGCTGAAGTTCATGAAGGGGTCAGTCCTGCGGATCCAAAACTACAGGATCTCCATGACACAGGACAACAACAGGCTTTCCAAGAGGAGTCCCAGTGAGGATCCAGTCTTGATAGAGTAGCAGAAGCCAGAGGACTCATACCAGACCAACAAGTCATTGTAATGAACATTTGCAAGCAAAGGAGTGTGAACCAAAGGGACACACCTTGTTACGCTACAACTTCCAAGGCAAGATTTTCTTTTCGTATGATGTGGGGAAGATTGCAAGGTGAAGGGGGCGGTATGAGCAGAGGGGGAGATGAATGGGAGTGAGGTGCATGATGTGAAATTCACAAAGAACCAACAAAAAGGTTTTTAAAAATATTATAATAAATAGTATGCGATGCAATTATGTTAATTTTTTTTAAATCATGTGGGTGTGATGTCAAAGGCATCACTATACCATAATGGGTTCAGTCTACTAGTACATATGTAGCCTCCTTTCGTAGATGTTTACAAATACCATCCTGAGAGGGAATAAAGCTCCCATATTTGCTCATCACTGGCTGGTGCTGGTAAACAAAAGATAAAGTATGCAAGAGTATTTAATGTTTTTAAACGACACAGACTTCAGGAATGGAGACCCAAAGAAACAGGTACACTTGGCAATTTTTGTATTTAGATCTAATAAAGTGTAGATGTCCATCTGAGGGAAAATACGGTTGTTTGACCAAGAGATGAGGTCTAATGTTAATAAACGGAGGAGAGACCTGGGACAGCATAGGCTTCTTGGAGGACATGAGGGTGACTCTAGCTGAGACTCCTAGTAACAGGGGCCATGGAGACTGAAGAGGCCACTTTCCCACTAGACACGACTCCTAGTGGAGGAAGGGGACACCAACCCACCCACAAAAACATTTTGACCCAAAATTTATCCTACCTTCAAGATGGGCAGGGACAAAACAGAGACTGAGGAAATGTCCAACCAATGACTGGTCTAACCTGAGACTCACCCCATGGGAGAGAGCCAACCCCTGACACAATTAAGGATACTCTGCTATGCTGGCCAATGGTAGCCTATCATAGCTGTCCTCTGAGTAGCTCCACACAGCACCTGATGAATACAGATGCAGAGACCCACAACCAAATACTAGGTGGAGCGCAGGGAGTCTTGTGGAAGAGTGGGGGGTGGGGAGATTGAAGGACACAGAGGGGACAGTAGCTCCACAATAGGACCAAAAAAGCCAACTCACCAGGGCCTAGGGGAGCCTGTGGAAACTGAAGCATCAACCAAGGACCATGCTTAGACTGGACCTAGGCTCCCTACACAGATGTAGCCAATGGGCAGCTCAGTCCTCATATAGATCTCCTAGTAAGGGGAATGGGGCTGACTCTAACATGGACTCTGTGGCCTGCTTTTCCCTTGGTGGACCTACCTTGCCAGGCCACAGGGGAAGAGGATGTGCTCAGTCCTGATGTGACTTGATGTGCTGGGGTGGGTAGGGAGACTCCTCTTCTCTTAGGAGTAGGGGAAAAGGGATGGGGGAAACAGGGAGGGAGGGTGTAACCAGGAGGAGAGGAGGGGCGGGGGGCTACAAACAGGATGTAAAATGAATAAATAAAAATTAAAGTTAAAAAAATAAATAGAGGAGAACATAGCAGGGCCGCTTCAGATTCTCCTACATCTCTGTGTCCTCAGGACTAAGGATTTCTTCAGCTTTTGAAAGCCAAAGCCTCTCAAAGGAGCACCCTGTGACCTGCTTCAAGGAGGAAGAGCAGGTGAAGCAACTGAACTTCCTCCTTCTGTCGCCTCCTATCAGCAGTCTTCGGTTCCCAGGAGGCTTGCTGCAAGAGCTATGATTAATAAAGGGCTTTTCAGCCTTCCTCTGATTAAAGGTTAGCAGACTGAGAAGTACTTAAACGACCGGCAGGTTTCTTCTCCACTTCCCTCCAAATCTCATCATGAAGACTGACACCTGTTCTGTCTGCGAGCGAGGATGGCCCGGGAGGAATGACTAACTCACAGTGGTTGGAAAAATGTTGACATTTTCTGTACAAAAAGGGAGGAAAGAAAAAAAAAAAAACTTGCCAAGGACAATAGCACTTTACATTTGTAATGAGCTTCACAGGATGCAAAATATTTTCGTTTCCATTATTTTATTTGGTTCTTAAAACAACCCTATGAGGTAAGCAGCAGCTGCTATTTCTATTCAACCTAAGGAAATTGGGACTCAGGGATGTTAAGTGGTTTGCCTGAAGTCTTCAAGTCGTTAAGTAACCCTTCCGTAAGTTCCAGTAACAGCCATCTTCTTGTCACCCCTCAAAAAGAAACGTCTGAATACTGAAAGGGCAGTAGGCAGCCTCCTGAAAGCCGTCATCCTGGGACAGAGAGTGGAAACTGCATGGGATACGAGCATACTAAAAGTGTCTAAGAGATATGGTGCTCTCCCTCCTTCCCTGTCTTCCTCCCCTCCGTCTCCCTAACATATTACTACATCTTCATTTCAGAGAGCAGGGGAGAGACAAGGGCGTGGTCTTAACTTCCAGCCCCGCACGGAAATCTGTGACATCTGCAGCTATCTCATCAGCGAGCTAAGACACCAAGAGGAAGCTGAAGTTTTATTATAAGAGACAAACCAGGAAGTCTGTTTCTGTGCGGTGCTAAACAAACAGCTCAAGGGGTAGGAGAACAGATCCAAGCTGCGGCTCAACGTGCAGCCAGCTCTCGCTCCTCAGAGCTTCCCGGGATCCGTCTCAGCCTGTAAGCAGTGTTATGAAATGGTGTGATTTTAATCAGCTTTGACTGCACCTTGCTCTCAAGGTTTACTCAGTGCAGTCCTTAGAGGCACATTACCACTCGGCTCCACTCCAGGGAAGAAGTCTGTTCTCCATCAGGGCGAGAAAGACAGGAGTGCTTTTGTCTCACTGCTCAGAGTCAAAGAAGGACCTGAGACCCAGATGGCTCGCCACGGACTTCATCTCGTCAAATTGCAGCTACGTTGTAAACAGAGCAAAGTGTAATTCAATTCTTTGGTAATGAATTAGCAAAGATATGTCAAAAGACTGGAGGTACAGTCTCCAAAAGCCTGTTACACTCTCTATAGTGATTTAGTACAAGTAAAAGCCCCAGGCCATCATGAATATTTGGTGAAATCCTGCCTGAATAACTGCCCAATGTATACATCTTTCTGTCCGTGGATTTCATAGATGTCTGCAGGATTTCTGCAGATGTTAATGTATATTCATTCAATACATAATGCCCAGCACAGGTCATTCATTTGTTATTATACAATGAATATAATCATAGTATCTTAGATTCATAGTCTAAGAGATTGATGACTCCATGAATCAGTGCTTCTTATGCAAGCATAATGACTACAGATAAAGTCTACATCACCCACATAAAAAGACAGGCATAGAAACATATGCCTGCCGCCCCAACACTAGGGAAAACAGAGACAAGCAAATGGCAAGGCCTCACTGACCAGCCAACCTACCTAAAACTGTGAGATCATGGTTTAGAAAGAGAGAGACCCTACCTCAAAAAAACAGAGAAGTGATTAAGGAAAACATCCTTAGATTAACCTCTGGTCACATCACACACAAGCACAATGACAAATGCAGCCACACATACATATTATACATACATATACACTATATACACACAAAGTTTATCATCAATGCAATAGTCAAACCAGAAAACAGAATTGAATGTGATTAGAAAGTAAAAGAGGTATGCAGGTTAAGCTAAATAAAGGACTATAATAGAAAGTTAGATAACATTGGTGAGGAAATGTTTTTATACAGTATAACCAAATGTTTTTATATAGGATGGAATTCCAGAGGATTTACTAAAGCTTGAAGGCTGAAAAGGAGCTACTTATGAGAAACACTCAGAGAAAAGTTCTCCAAATGAATGACCTGAGGGAAGGTGCTGAAGCTCAATGTCCTGCAAGAAGGCAGAGTGGATGCTACATAAGAAAGAAAGGAATGTTGAGATGGGAAAGGTGAATACAGCACATGCAAGATCTCAGAGTCTGCAGTCAACATGTTTGTCATTCAAAAGATAAAAGAGTTAACCGTTTAAAGTTGAAAATTAGTCTAAACTTACTTACATTGTGAAAAAACATTCACCATCACTGGAAAAAAAAAAAAAACCATTAGTCCAGACTTACATAAGAAACGATGGTGACATGGTGCCTCAACTAAGATAACAGCACTGTAGGTGATGAATTGTTGACAGACTCAATTTGAGAGATAAACTCTCTAGGTCAGACCGCTGAACAAAATAAGAAAAGCGAATTTAACAAAGAGGAAAGAATCAGAGGTAGTTTCCTAAGCCAGAGAAGACTAAAGGAAGAATCAATATCATGAGGATGTGGAGTGAATGCTGAGCATTAAAATCCCAGTTTAGGCTACACCAACTCTGAAACACTTAAGAAATACCCAAGAATAGACATAGCTAACTCTCCAGATACAAGGAGAGCCTAGCTAAACATGTAAATTTGAGAATCACAAACACAGTGATTTTACATAAGGTCATGAGAATAAGTGCTATCACCAACATAAAAAGCAGTTAGAAATTTTTAGGGTTAGGCCATAGGTTCCTCGTTTTCTCTAAATACTTTTATGTTGGTCCAGTAGAAAAAAGTACAGTAGAAGAAAAGCTGAGAAAAGAGAGGTACAGAAAGTCAGTGTAGTGGTTTTGTCAACTAGACACAATTTAGAATAGTCTGGGAAGAGACTCTGAATGAGAGATTATATAAATCAGCTTGGCCTGTGGACATTTCTGTAGGGGATTGTGTTAACTTGACTGTGTTAACTAATGGGGGAAAGCCCAGCCCACTGTGGGAGGCACCATTCCCTAGCTCTGGCTCCTGGTGTGTGTGAGGGTGGAAAAGTGAACTGAACAGCGAATATGACTTGTTTTCATTCTGTCTCTGCTCTTGACTGTGTAACCAGCTGCTTCAAGTTCCTGCCGCCTTGAACTCCCCACAGTGATGGACTGTGCCCTGAAACTGTGAGCTAAAGTAAGCCCTTTTGTCAAGAGGTTTTTAATCACAGCAACAAAAACGAAACTAGGACAGTCACAGAAATAAAGCTGGACTCATTTGGCCAATCTCAAAAGGTGCCCTTTATAACCATGCTGTGCCTTATCAACACAACATTTTTGTCAGTCAAGATTGGGTCAGCTACTTTGATCACGAAACCCCGCATAGCAGTTGCTTAAATGAGGTGTAATTTAAGTGATGTTTTTGTGAATGAAGACAAGTAGTTGTTGGTCCACAGCTGCTGTCCATTTCCAACATTCTTCCAGTTCCAATATGTCATTCCCTTTCCAGGGTCACCTCATAGTGTATGGTACTTTCGTATGGTACTTGCTGGAGCTCAGGCTGCCCCATGTATTTCATTAAAGCCACAGAACAGTGTGAGAAGCATGAAGAGCACATCCTCCTTCTAATAACCCTCCCAGAACTTTCATATGAGATTGCTACTTCTAGTTCTTTGGCTGAAAGCTAGGTGTTAACTATTTCAGTTTCTCCATCTAAAAATAAAGTTGGCAGCCATTATCTCATAGCCTTGATATGAAGATTAAAATTTGTTATGAGTTAGAATGATGCGTTAAACAAAATGACATACTTTGTAAATATTGGTCAGTATTATTTTCTTAGTTACTTTTCTACTGCAGTGATGCGACACCAAGACTAAGAAAACTTATAAAAGAAGACATTTAATTTGAGGCTCACGGTTCCAGAGGGTTAGGGTTCACGATCATCTTGGTTTGGAACAAGGCAGTGGGCAGGCAAACGTGGTGCTGGATCAGTAGCTGAAAGTTTACACACCGATCCCCAAGCATGAGGCAGCGAGACAGACTGGAAATGGTGTGTGCTTTTGAAAACCTCAAAGCCTACCTACCTCTTGGAACCTACCTGTTGGAAGTGACCTACCTCTTCCAACAAGGTCACATATCCTAATCCTTCCCAAACAATTCCACCACCCAGGGCCAAGTATTCAAATATATAAGCCAATGGGGAGCATCATCATTTAAAACACCACTGATACTTTTCCAATTTTTACAATAACAGATTTACACAACAGACATCAATCGCCCACTTCCAGTTATGGACATTTTGCCTTAGATCAACAAACTAAATAATACAATTTAAAAATGGAGTACAAATCTAAATAGAGAATTCTCAACAGAGGAACCTCAAATGTCTGAGAAACACTTAAAGAAATGTTCAACATGCTTAGCCATCAGGAAAATGCAAATCAAAATGACTTTGAGTTTTTATCTTACACCTGTCAAAATGGCTAAGATCAAAAACATAAAACAAGTGACAGCTCATGCTGGTGAGAACATGGAGCAAGGGGAACTCTTCTCCTCTGCTAGTGGGAGTGCGAACTTATACCACCGCTTTGGAAATCAATATCTTGATTTCTCAAAAAAAAAAAAAATGGGACTAGATCTACCTCAAGACCCAGCTGTACAACTCCTGGGCATAGACCTAAAAGACATACCATGCTCTCACAAGGGTACCTGCTCAACTATGTTCATGGTAGCTCTATTCATAACAGCCAGAAACTGGGAATAACCTAGATGTCCCTCCATCAAAGAATGAATAAAGAAAATGGGCTACATTTTCACAAGGAAGTATTGCTCGGCTGTTAAAAACAATGACATTATGAAATTTGCAGGCAAATGAATTGAACTAAAAGAAAACATCCTGAGTTTGGTAACCAAGACCCAGAAAGACAAACATGGTATGTACTGACTTATCCAAGGATATTAGCTGTAAAGTAAAAGACAATCATGAATACAATCCGCAGGCCCAAAGAGGCTAAGTAACCAGGAAGGCCTAAGCGGGGAAGCGAGGATCTCCCTGGAAAGGAAATTTTGGGCTGGATTGGGGGCAGGTAAGAAGAAATACTGAGGGAAAATGACTGGAATTGGGAGAGGTCACTGTCATTCGGACAAAGTGGCAGCCACACAGAATGAGAAAAAATTTTTACCAACTGCATATCTGATAGAGAGCAAATGGCCAAAATATATAAAGAACTCAAAAAAACTGGACATCTAGCTGGGTGGTGGCGCATTTCTTTAATCCCAGGCAGAGGTAGGTAAATCTCTGAGCTAGAGGTCTACAGAGTGGGATCTAGGACAGCCAAGGCTACCCAGAGAAACCCAGTCTCAAAGTGAAAAAAAAAAAAAAATGAGCATCAAGAAAACAAACACAAACAATTAAAACTGGGGTACAGATCTAAACAAAGACTTCTCAAGAGATAAAATTCAAATGAAAACAAAAACAAAACACTTAAAGAAATGTTCAGCATCCTTAGCCAGCAGGGGAATGCAAATGAAAACTACTTTAATATTTCATCTTAAACCAGTCAGAATGACCAAGATCAATAAAACAAATGACAGCTCATTCTGGTGAGGATTTAGATTATGAGGGACGCTCATCCATCGATGGTGGGAGTGGAAACTTTACAGCCTCTGTGGAAGTCAGTGAGGCAGTTCCGCAGTAAGTTGGAACTAAATCTACCTCAGCTCTGTCACTCTATCTAGTTATGTCACTCTTAGGCATATACATAAAGGACTCTTCAGCCTATTACAAAGACTTTTGCTCAGCCAGGTTCACTGCTACTTCATTTATTATAAACAGAAATTAGAAACAACCTAGACGCCCATCAATGGATGGACGGATGGATGAAGAAAATGTGGCACATTTATACACTGGAGTGTCACACAGCTATTTAAAAAATGAAATCATGATATTTGCAGGTAGACGGATAGAATTACAAGTAATCATCCTAAGTGAAGTAACCGAGATCCAGAAAGACAAATATGGTATATATTCACTTACATGTAGATATTAGTTAAGAGATTCATAAGCAAGCTCCAATAGATAGAACCACAGAGGTTAGGTGTAAAGTAAGGCACTAACAGGGAGGAAGGGATCTTCCTAAAAAGAAGCAATAGAATAGATGGTTATATAGAGACAAGGGGGAATCTGGAATGGGAAGATCAAATATGAAGATTGAGGGAAAGGAGAGCAAGCAAAAGAATACAGAGATGGTATATGGAAATAACCTAGAACTCCTGCTCAGATATAGCCCATGGTAGCTCAGTATCCAAGTGGGTTCCCTAGTAAGGGGAACAGGAATTATTTCTGACATGAACTCAATGGCTGGCTCTTTGACCTCCCCTCCCCAAAGGGAGGAGCTGCATTGCTAGGCCAGAGAAGAGGACATTGCAGCCAGTCCTGAAGAGACCTGATAAGCTAGGGTCAGATGGAAGGGGAGGAGGTTCTCCCCTATCAGTGGACTTGGAAAGGGGCAGGGAAGAGATGAGGGAGGGATGGTGGGATTGGAAGGGAATCCAATTGGAAGGGATGGGGCTACGGCTGGGATAAAAAGTAAATAACCTGTGATTAATATAAAAAAATAAAAATTATTATAAAAAAACAAAAGAATAAAAAAAAAAACAAAGATGGACATCTAAAACTAAAGGTCATCACGGGAACCTAAAGTGTCCTAAAATATATATGTATATGAAAGTGATATAAATGAAATTGCTTACAATGGAGAAGACAGAATTCCAACTGGATATCTCTTATCACCAAATGAACATTTCATTGCTGGGATGGGTTATATCTAATTGTTGGCCAAAGGGGTCCTATGGGAATCCCCAAACAACATAAGCTGTTGTCAAGGCTCTTGGTTACTCTCCACAACTGACAGCAAGGCCCCTACTGTTGAAGACACCCCTACACAGCTCAGTGATCACAGAGAAGTTGAGTTTGTACTTACCTGATGTCTTCACCCCCTCTGGACTAATATTCATGGTCCTGGACAGTACTCTGCATCATACTACCAAAGGAGAAACATAAACATCAAGTCTATAAACCTTTTGATCTACAATGGCTTCCTGACTGCAAGATATACCTGTTTATACCAGTGGCACAAAGCTTGTGGGAGTAACTAACCAAGATCTGATTTGATTTGAGACCTACTCCATGAGATGGAACCCATACCAATACTGCTGCTTCATTGTCCAAGATCCTGAAACTAGATACTCCAGAGACCTATTATGAAACCAAAGATAAAGGAACATGGCAATAAAACAACTCTTAACAACATTCTGCTATACTCATAGATCAGCACCTTGCTCAGCCATCATCTGAGAAGTTTCCTTCTGCAGCAGATGGAGACAAATACAGAGAACCACACGAATACATAGAGCCAGACAATGTGCAGAGAGTGAAAGACTTTGGGATACCCAGCCCTAAACAGGATATCTCCACCAAATCCCTCCCCTCGAGGTTCAGGAAACCCCACAGAAGAGGAGGGAGGAGTATAAGAGCCAGAGGGCATGCAGGACACCAAGGAAACAAGGCTCTTTAAACACAGCATGACCAATGTCCTAGGAAATCACAGAAACTGACGCAGCCATGCACAGGGCTTGCATAGAGCTGCACCAGATCTGAGAGGAGAAGAGGCCACACATACCCATCCCTGAGGCGGAAGCTAGCTACCACTGATAACCACTTGCAAGTGAAAATGTAGTTTCCTCCAAGGAAGTCTCACTGGGAGAAGTAAGCCACTCTTAAGAGTAGGCCCCATGCCCGGCAGTAGATGGACAATCCAAAAGAACTCAGTGGTCTATCTGGAGGTTCTTTGTCCCAATGTTATGTTTGGACTTTTTCATATCATTTTTTATATAATTTGTGTGCATGCATTGTGGCTTCCAGTTTTGTGTTTTTATGGGAGTCCTGTGTGTGCAATGATGAGCATCTCTGCAACCTATTTGTGCTTCTTATACTTTTTTTCTGTGGCTTTTTTCTTCAGTTTGTTTGTGTTGTCCTGTTCTGAATTGCTTGTCTTTGTTTTATTTTATTGTATTTTATTAGTATTCCATAGATACCTGTTTATTTTCTAACCAGAGGAAGAGGGCAGAGGAGATGGAGCAGAACTGGGAGAAGTCAAGGGAAAGAAAACCATAATTAGAATGTACTGTATAAAAAATATGTCTATTTTAAATAAAAAGATCCACACAGATATAAGGATCATCAATACGTATTGATGTCAGTCTACACTCTGATCATTTTAATTGAGTATATTCATTATTTCAAAGTCATTTACAGGATTATATTAGCCTCTCTAGGTGTTTTTCCTCTAATGTGTTATTAATATTAATAATTAATATTAAATATTATTATTGAAAGTTAGATGTAAACTATTCAATTTGCTAATTAGACATATCTTAAAATATATTCTCCTTCTGTGCATCACCTTACAAAAAAAAAATGGTACTGAAAAATCCTGCTGCAAACTCTCACGTGAGTGTGGATTTCATATGGTCCTGACAGCTTCGTAACACTATAAAGCAGTCTAATATCGTCAGTGATTCAAACAAGAGTCAAAATGGTATAGAGCTATGTCATTTTATTTTTAAATTTATTTTATGTATATGAGTATTGTATCTGCATGTACAGCTGTGAGGTGAAGAGGGCATCAGATCATACTATATATGGTTGTGAGCCACCATGTGGTTGCTGGGAATTGAACTCAGGACCTCAAGAAGAGTAGACAGTGCTCTTCACCACTGAGCCATCTCTCCAGTCCTGTATCATTGTCTTACGTGAGCATGATTTGCCCTGTCATTTGGGGTCGAGATTCCTAAGGAACATTCTTACAGCACAGTAAAAGACAATTTTCAGACCCACTTCACTCTTCAATAATAGCAATTTAAGGACTGTTTGTTTTTTTTAGAAGAAACTGTCTTAGTTATTAGCTTAAAAAAAAAATCCCAATGAAGCTGGGTGCAGTGAAACATGCCTGTAATCCCAGCACTCAGGGAGACAGAGGCAGGCAGATCTCTGTGAGTTCAAGGTCAGCCTGGTCTACAAAGTGAGTCCAAGACAGCCAGGGCTACACAGAGAATAACACATGACCACTGCCAATTCATAGATCTGTTGTATAGCCAGGGAAGCTAAGATACTGTGCTTCTGCCCCACAGAGCAGATGAATTCCAAGACCTGACAATGGTGGATCTGAAACTACAGTTTCAATAACACAGGACAAATTAAACAGTTTATGACAAGTACCCACTGAAACTTTATGTTTTCAACCAAGCCGTTCCTACTCCATATATTTTTGCTATTCCGGTGATGTCATGGTTTAGCAGATCTACTTCAGGTAAATTAGGGTCATCTCAACTTATTTGAAACTTATTCTCACCTGTGAAGACTTGCAAATAGTAACAACACTTTATCAGGTCAAACTTGATATTCATTCTTCAAGTAAACAAGAATGGAAAGATATCAGTATCAGGTCTGACCTTATCGAAAGCCAAAGGAAACTACTTGAAATTGTGTTTAGCCTGTTCTTTCTTTCTTTTTTTTTTCTTTATTCTTCTCTCATACACTAAATCCTGACAGTAGCTCTATCTCTCCTTTCCCTCAGATCCCCCTCCCTTCAGAAAAGAACAAGCCTCCCAAGGACAGCAACCAAAGCCTTATGCCAGGGCTAAGCAAGACAACTCAGTATGAGAAAAAGGGTCCCAAGAGCAGGCAACCCCACTCCCGCTATTAGGAGTCCAACAAAAATTCCAAGCTAAACAAATACAGCATGTACGCAGAGGACCTGCCACAGATCAACAGGCTCTTTGATTGCCATTTCAGTCTCTGTGAGCTGCTTTGAGCCCTGCTTGGTTGGTCCTGTGGTCCGTGTCCTCCTGGTGTCCTTGACCCCTTGGCTCCTATAATCCATCTTCCCCCTCTTCTGAGGAATTTCCTCTGAGCTCCTCTAATGTTTGGCTCAGGGAAGGTCTCTGTATCTGCTCCCACCAGTTGCTGGAGGAAGCCTCTTTGATGACAACTGAGCCAGGTACTGATCTATGAGAAATAGCAGAGTAGCAGCAATAGGAATCATTTCAATCATTTTGTAGAATTTTTTTTTTTTTTTGGTCAGTTGTGTTTGGTTCTACCCTAGGTCTTTGGGCTAGCCAGCTTCCAGATCCTGGCTATCCAGGCCGAGTCAGGCATGGGCTCCTTCTTGTGGCTTGGGCCTCAAGTTAGACCAGACATTGGCTGGCAGCTCCCACACACTCTGAACCAATATTGGTCCCACAACCCATAATCCTGCAGACCAGACAGGCTGTATGTCATAGGTTTTTTTTTGGCTGGGTTGGAGTCCCAGCTCCACCACTGGAAGCCTAGACTGTCACCCTTTTCTTTACCAGCATTTAACATTGCTCCAATATCTGCAGTTCACCAGAAAGGCCAATAACCTCAAATAAATGCATTTTCTCTAGACATAATTCCTCATCTGTTGCGATCAGACATGAGTTGCTTAATGCAGCATCAACAGTCCTTGCTTAACTAACAAATGGACCATTTACGGAACTTACTTCGGGGCAAAGTGTCCTTTATTATTTTTGGAAAGAAATGTTGTTGTGATGTGATAGTCTCTGTTGAATTTTCTGACTTTTATAGCAACTGCTTTGCTGTGCTTGAAATACTGTGACCAGGCTGTCAGCACAGCTACAGTGTAACTGCACAAGAAACACGCTGTTTGACCAGCTGATTCCCTAACAAAACAATCCAAACTTCACAGGCCTCAGAAGCTGGATATCCAAATTCCACTCTTCTGATTTTGACATGATATGAATACAGTGGTAATTAAAAGGTAAATTAAATGTCACGGCACAAAGATACATGGTTAGTAAAATGTTGCGGAGTTATAACTGTATCACTGTGGTTTAGTCACTAAATAGCAACGGGAAGCAACCAGCCATCACATATGGTCTCTTTCACATCCAGTCCGCTCTGATAGCAGAGCATCAAAGGCACCACACACAGCATATAAACGAATGAGTGTGGCTCTGCTCCAGTAACACCAAAAGATGAATTGCATGTGATAGCAATCCATCAAGAAATACTATCATTTTGAATTTGTGTTAATCAGATAAAAATGTAAAAGCCATTTTCACCCACATAACTGAGCACACACACACAAACAATCTGAGGAAGGTAGCTCAACGGTATCAAAGCTGGTATCTTAAATGTGATAGTATACAACCTCGTTTTTCCATCTATTACTATAGGAACTCCCCCACTGAAAGCCAAGGCCCTACCTAAGCTCAGTCCAAAGTTCCAGGAAGTCTGTACAACTGCTGAAGATTGCCAAAGAGGAAAGCAGCTGACCCCGCGGCCAGACACCGACACCAGGCGCAAAAAAATCAGACATCAGAGGGATCCTTCACCTTGAAGTTCCAAGAACGGTGTGTGAAGAGAAAACCATTCACTACAGTGTACTGCTCACAGCTCACTGCTCCTATTCTGCTCTCTTTCAGTCTTACCCGGTCCTTAGCTATACCACTTGCGCTCCCCTTCCTCCGCAGTAACTTAGAAATCAGGCAAAGCTGCTTGGTAGGAATCCTGGGAGACCCTTTAGCACTCCAGGTTGTAGATGCTGGACCCTCCCCCCTGCGCTTCCTTGCCAACACTGGGAACGCCCTTTCAAATGACTGCTCTCTGATCATTGCTCCTAATGATGCAGCCTTGCCCAGGCCAAGGAGGAAGAGGATCCAGGCAGTCGTGAGGAGACTTAAGCTATGGGCAGTTGGCTATAGTGGAGAACGCCCCCTTTCAGTGGACTAGGGGAAGGGGATGGAGGGCAGAGGGAGGAAGGGTGGAACTGGGGGAGTTGTGGGAGGGGCTTCAATCAGGATATATAATGAATAAATTGTGAAGAAAAAGTTTTTTAATTTTTTTTTTAAAAAGAGTTTTTCATAGACTTAACGCTGAACCGGTTTCTACTACCATGAGAACTGTGGAAGTCTGACGCAATGGTTTTTCCCGACAGTC